TCCCGGCGCCCGCCCCGGGGGGGCTGGTGTTTTCAGGGCGGTATTACACGCCCCCGGCAGCGGGTGAGTCACGGCGCTTGGGCGGCGTACCCAGCTCTCCGCAGAGGTGTCGGCGTGGGTTTATCGCTGCGGCCGCTGACCGGTCCGCGGTTGAGTCAGCTGGGAGGCGCTGCCGGTCTCGCCGCCGCGGGGGGATTCCCTGCGCGCGGTCCGGGAAGTGCCAGGCGAGCGCCGCTCGCCGCGTTGGAGCTCGGGGATTAAGGGCGGCTCAGTCTCCCTCTCCAAGGTCAATGCCATTTCAGGGAAGCCGTTGCGCAACGTGGTTTTGCCGGACTCATCAGAAAAGCGTGTCTCCCTCCAGCCCGTGCCCCAAGCCCGGACGAAGCGAGGCTTGCTAGGCAAGGTGTGAACTCCCCCTCTCCTGCGGCGAGCCCCGGGCAGGCTGCGGGAGCCACCCCAGGGTGTTTCGGTTGATTTTCAGCCTGCGGGCAGGGAGGTTTGGCGATGGGTTGAAGATTCGGCTTCCTCCAGGGCTCATCGCGCGGGTACCTGCTGCGGCCTTGACCGCCCGATTGCCGTCGGCGGTGGGGTCAAAAAAAAAAAAAAAAAATCTCCAGAAAAGCCAAATATTTGCATCTGCGCTGTTCCAAGTCGTTCTGCCCGCTGTTCCCTGTGAGCCTCGCCCAGTGTTCGTACTGGCAGGAGAAGTGTTATGGTTTCAAAAACAAAATTCCTCCCATTAGATGAGGATCTCTGATTTTCCTCAGTCGCGGGGTTCGCCGGGGCCGGGCCAGCTCGCCCGGCCCTGCCCCAGCTGGTGTCGATTTGGGTCCGTCCCCACGAAAAACAACCTGGTCAAACGGAGCAGAAAACAACTTCGCTTCGGTTTTTCTCCGGTCGCAAACGAAGCGGAGCGTGTCCTTTGCCTTGGGGAACGGCCTCGGCGTCGCCTTTGCACCGAACACGTGGACGTCGAAGGGTTCGCCTTGCAAACGGCCGGCTTGACGCGGGAGAGGACGCGGCGCCGTCGCGTTCCTGCGAGCCGGGAGCCTGCCAGCTAAAGAGAAGCGGGTTCGACGCCGGTTTTAATTCCCCCTCCACCTTGCTCGGAGGTCTCCGTGCTCCTCCCCGGGGCTGGGGGAGAGGATTTCCCGGTCCGCGCAGCGGCCGGGACCGCTCGCCTTCGGATTTACTCGCCGCTGACGAAGCCCAAGGGCTGCCCCGGAGCTTCGGGGCGGTTTTTGCGGGGGACGGGGCCCCGTTTGGCAGCGGCTCACCTTGCAGAGCCAGTTTTTGAATAGGCTGGAAGACCGCGGCTCGCTCCGAGGTTACATCTTTGAAGTCTTGTCGGCTGGCGTCGCTTGCCTGCTGGGGAAGACTGCCTGTTCCCGAAACCGGTGCGTGTTCCAACTGGTGCCGCATTAAAACACAAGATGCGAGGGTGTGGTGGTGGTTACAACAGCCGTTTATCCACCAAAGTCTCCCACGCGTCAGCTGAACGGTCACTGCAGGCAACTGCTCCTTGAGTATCTTGACCTAATCCCTCAACCTCCCCCCCCCCAAAACAAGCGCTTGGGTTGCTCAGGGGATGAGAAATGTCGCATCTGCTTGTTCAAGGAGATACCTTCCAGCCTCCCCGGCCAGGGTGGGAGCCCGAGCTCCTCGGGAACCGTGGTTCGGTTCTCCTCGGTGGTCAAACGAGCTGTCCCATCAGCTGGGGACGCGGTGGGTCACCGTCCGGACCTGCCAAAAATGCGACCGGCACGAGGTCCGGCAGAGGCGGAGCTGGGCATTAACATCACGAAACTGGGTTTGGAAACTGGGTTTATTCTGGAGGACGCCTGCTCCGGTTCTGGACTTACTTGGTCACGAAAGACGCAGGGCGAGGATCCGACGTATCGTGGGCGAAGAGCGAGCTGCGCGTTCAGGATCGTCTCGTAGCTTCCGACGTACCAGACGAATGCGCGCAGCGAAACCGAAGCGTGGGGCGGGTTGGGTGGCGAGCCCGAATCTGGGCTCCGGGGTGCTGCTCCGGCAGCTCCTGCCTGTCCCTCCACCCCCGAAGGCAAAGCGGGGAGTTGGGGGGGCAAGGAGCTGCTTGTGCTGCCTGCCTGCCTGCCGCTGGCATTCGCGGGCGTCCTGCTCTCCTGCAGACGCCGTGAGCTCCCGGCCTGTCCTTGCGAGCTGCGAAGCAATCGGGTGTCTCTCTGGATGTGCTCGCGGGGCAGCCCTAGCGTTCGGCTTCCCGATGAGGCGCTGGAGAGCCGCAGACCTTCCCCGCTGGCTCCCTGCTCCCGCGCCCCTTGGAATTACGCTGTAGGTGGGAAGGGACGTCGGCTGCCTCCGGCCGCGGGGAGCTGAACGTCCGTTTTTTCCCTTTGGCTTTCAGAGATCGTCGATGGCAACGCGAAGATGACGCTGGGCATGATCTGGACCATTATCCTCCGATTTGCCATTCAGGACATCTCGGTGGAAGGTAAGGGGCCAGGGATACGTGCGCCGCAGGCGGCATCGCACACCGAATCCCCTCTCCGGTCCTGCGGGCAAGGCTGCTCCGGCTGGTTCGTGAGCTGCCGTGTCCCTTTGCAGAGACCTCGGCGAAGGAGGGCTTGCTGCTGTGGTGTCAGAGGAAGACGGCTCCCTACAAGAACGTCAACGTGCAGAACTTCCACATCAGGTAACCCGCCCGCCTCGGCTCCGAGAGCCGCCCCTTCACGCGCTTGCGGGAGGCGTTAGTGCCGCTCCCCTGGGCTTCGAGGCTCCTCTGAAATACTCGGTGGCGAAGCTTTCGGCACGGCTGGAAGGGGAAATCCCGCGTCGTGCTGTTTTGTTTTGTTTTGTTTTGTTTTTCTGCGGTTACGCCTGAAATATCTGCCCCTTCTCCGGGCTGCCTTTCCAGGAGGGGTTTTCCAGGGTCTGAGGAAGACGCGCGGTTCGTCTTGGCCCTTCTACTGTAAATTAGTGAATCGGGGAGGGGTGGACGAGGGGGATGGCGGGGGACCCCTCTGTGTGAATTTAAGCCCCGTGCTGGCGCGGGGATCTCACTCTCCCCTCTTCTCTTGCAGCTGGAAGGACGGTCTTGCTTTCAATGCCTTGATCCACAGACACAGACCGGAGCTCATCGAATACGACAAACTCCGAAAGGTAAAACTCGGCGGCAGCACAGTCTCTTCCCTGCTGCTTTTCTCCTCTAAAAACCGAGCTTTGAGCTGGCGGAGAAGCGTGGCTGTCCCGTCCGTCCGTCCGTCTGCTTAACTGCCTCAGCAAGGCGTCGGTGCTCCCCGCAGCCCTCGGACGCCAGCCCTCTTCAGTAGCTCGTCTCCTCTCTCTAGGACGACCCCGTGACGAATCTGAACAACGCCTTCGAGGTGGCGGAGAAGTACCTGGACATCCCCAAGATGCTGGATGCAGAGGGTAAGCTCGCCGGGTGCTTCGAGCTGTAACGCGCTGCCGAAGGGTGACGCCGTCCGTGTGCCGTAAACGTCCAGGTCCTTGACGGAAGATCCGCTCCTTCGGGCGCCAAGGAAGCGTGCCGGCGGCCAGCCTCGCCCGGAGCTGGGGAGGGGGGTGGTTTAGCGTCGGGGGACTGTATTTAACAACGCGCTTCTGCCCGTACAGGTGTATTTATCTGGCTTTTAAGAGCTGCTTGTTGGTGGGATTCCAGCCTAAAGAGGAGCTGGCTCTTAGGCAGAGCGTGGAGAGCGAGCCTGGCTCGCGCCAGAGGCGGCGAACGTCCCCCTCTCAGTCTGACCCTTGTTGTTCACTTGCAGACATTGTCAACACAGCTCGCCCCGACGAGAAAGCCATCATGACCTATGTGTCGAGCTTCTACCATGCCTTTTCTGGGGCTCAGAAGGTACCGGAGGCGGCTGTGTCCATCTTGCTGTAACATTTCCGACTGCAGCATCCTACACTCACGCGACTTCTCTTTCAGATGGCCGTTTTGTCTCTTGTTGACTTGGGAACCAGACCTCAGCTCGCTCACATGGGTTTAAAAAAAAGCTGCTCGGCTTCCCCAGATCTGTCTGTAAATGCGATGCCAGCGCAGCTGGGCCAAGGGGCTGGCAGAGCACCAGCCCGGCACTAACCTGGGGCGGAAAGGAGCTTCCTGGAGCTGCCCCGTGAGGCTTGGGAGCTCAGCTCTATCTCGAAACGAAGCCTCAGCACTTTGCAAGAGGCTGAGCTATTAAGCAGGGCAAGCGTAGCAGCAAAAATAACCCCGTCGGCCAGCCCTGGTCTGGATCCCAGGCCCCAGCAAGCGCTTGTTCCCCTCCGCTGCATGCCCGAGGGGGGTTGAGGATTCCTGTGCCGCTTCTTCACCCTCTCTCCTCCCTTTCTCTCTGCGCAGATATTGTAGGCACTCTCAGGCCCGATGAGAAGGCCATCATGACATACGTTTCCTGCTTCTACCACGCTTTCTCGGGTGCTCAGAAGGTGAGCTTTGCCGGGTGGAGCTGCGCGCTTGGGTCGAGCCGCTACTAACATCGGACCTTCGGTCTCCCGAGGGTTGTTGCGCTGCTGCACGGCTTCTGGAAACGTAAAAACGGGGCCGGCTTTAGCTCCGCTTCACTCGGGAGAAGGGCAAAGCGTAAGCCCCTGGCCGGGAGGAGAGCCGGGCTGGCTCCTGCGCTGGAGAAGTCTTTCCAGGCTTAGCGCAGCTGGGCTTTTGTCACCGTACGGGGCAGGAGGTAACCTGGGTAAACCAAGAAGAGCCCGAGTCCCGGCTTTGCACCGCGACCTGGGTTTCTGAGGCATCCCTTCGGCACAGTCCGGGCTTGCGAGAGCTCGAGGCAACGTCTTAAATCAGCTTTACCCGAGGGCTTGGGGAGAGGGGGGCCGGTGTTCCCTCCAGCCCAGTCTGAGACCTTCGTTAGGGAGACTCGTTAGACCAGCGCTCGGAGCCAGGCGTGAAATCTGTCGTCGTGTCGGGGCGCTGCCTGTCACCGTGGGGTGCCTGGGGAGGGCTCCTGCCCTACCTCCCCGCTCGGCGCCGTCGCTCAGCTGCCCTTTCCTTTCCTTCCTTCCTAAACGCCTCGCGTTAGACCCAAAGCGGGGGTGGCTGGCAGCGCAGCCTGTGCATCTAAGAGGCGTCGCTGTTTCGGGCAGATCAGCAGTTACCGTTTTGTGCTAGTCGGAGGGATTGGGGAAATAAATGAGCCTTTTGGTGGCTGGGAAAGCCGTCGGCGTGCCAAGAGCTGGGGCAGAGCCTGAGCCTCAGCTTGTGCGGGAGCAACCCGGGTCTTGATCCGCGCGGCCGAATTGTGGTCAGAGCCCCCCGCCCCGAGCGTGGCCGGCGCCGAGCTCTCGAGGACGGCTGCCCCTCGGCACGGGCGGCTGCGGGATGGTTAACGAAGGTCGGGGTTAATTAGCTGGCTGCGTGAACCCCCCTGCAGCAGCAGCCTGCGTCTGGAAGGCTGCAAATCCCAGCCTGGCCGGTGGTTTTTATTCTTGCTGGTCCGCTCCCGGCCGGCATGCCCTCCTCGTCAGCTGGCCTCGATTGCCTCCGGGAACATGTGCTGTTTTCTTCTGCGCCGAGCTCGGAGGCGGCAGCGCCCGGCTTCGGCGGGGAGCGTGGCTAACGCGGTTAAGCCGCACCCGGGGCAGCGGGAGGAGCAGCCCGGCGCCGCGTCCCGTCTCCCTCCTGCCTTTTCCTTGGGTTTCAGGCCTCCGATGCCTAGCTTTTCTCTTTTTATTTATTTATTTTACTTTTCCCCCGTGGCGACTCGTTTTTCCTCTTCCCCATCCTTCTGTAGACCCTCTCCACTATTTCTGTTGATGTCTGGCTTTCAACTCCTCTTCTTGGACTCTTTCTGTGCTGCCTACCAAGGTACTCGATCCCCCAGGCTTATCTTTTCTGCCTCCTCCTCACCCTCCCACCCAGTGTAGAGAGGATCTGCCTTCATGGAAGAGCAGAAGACCGAAGGATGGTGCTTAGAGATGGGTAAAAAAAAAAGAAAAAAGAGGAGCAGCCTGGATGTGACGGGCTTTCTCCTGCTCCGTGCAAAGCAGCGCCAGACCCCGGCAGGGCAGCGCGCCTCCGGACAGAGAGCAGGGAAGGAAAAACACCGGGGCAGCGCGGGTCTCGCTCGTGATGGTGGCCACGCTCGGCGTGGCCGCGCGCTTCGGGGCTCCGGCACTCGAAAGCCGAGTCTGCCTCGTCCGCGAAGCCGTTGGTAAGGTTTGACCTGCGATGCTCGTGCGGAGGTGGCGATGCTGGAGCTGAGCTGGAAGTCACCCGCGAGGGTCTCGGGGGACCCGGCTTTCCGCAGCCTCGAGGCCAGGCTGCGTCTCCCCTGCGCGGTGCCCGGAGATTCCCCCCCCCACCCAGCCGGGCTGCCGGAGGAGGATGCTGGGCAGCTCCCAAATCCCCCAGGCTGGTCGGAGCGCTGCTCCGGCAGAACGGGTCCGGTTGGAACGGGGACGTGCGGGTTGGGGCGCCGCAGCCTTCCGCGGCTCTGAATCCCTCCTCGTGCTACTCTTTCCCCTCCAGGCCGAGACCGCGGCGAACCGCATCTGCAAAGTGCTGGCCGTCAACCAGGAGAACGAGCACCTGATGGAAGACTACGAGAAACTCGCTTCCGACGTAAGCCACCCGGCCGCCCCGTCACCGGTTGGGGGGATGCGGTCCCCCTAAAACCGGCCTCCCTCTGCCGCTCCCCGCCTCCCGCCCATCAAATCCCGTTCCCCCCCACACACACACAGCTGCTGGAGTGGATCAAGCGCACCATCCCTTGGCTGGAGGACCGCAGCCCGCAGAAGACCATACAGGAGATGCAGCAGAAGCTGGAAGACTTCCGCGACTACCGGCGCGTCCACAAGCCCCCCAAAGTGCAGGAGAAATGCCAGCTGGAGATCAACTTCAACACCCTGCAGACGAAGCTCCGGCTGAGCAACAGACCTGCTTTCATGCCCTCCGAGGGGAAGATGGTCTCGGTGAGCAGCTCCTCGAGCGTCCTGCGCCGGGGCTGGGGGGGGGGGGGGGGGGGGGCTTAGAGCTGGGAGATCCCGGGGTGGGAAGGGGTACCCACGCTGATGGGGTCCCACCCGTTCCTAAGGCCGCGGTTGAGAGCAGCGGAGCTGGAGCTGCTCCCCTGTGCTCCCGGAGGGGTTTTGGGGGTGGATTCCTCTTCAGCTTCTCCCAAAACCTGGGCTGATGTAAGACGGGGCTCCCAAAGCGGCCAAAACGGCCTCAGAGGGGCGCGTGCCTCCGTTGCCATCGGCGGGGGGAGGGGGGGACCTCCTGCCGGCGGCGGTGGAGGGGTGATGAGGAGGAGGTGGGGGAGAAGAGCAGCCGTTGCCCACCCCGGCCAGCCCCCTGAGCCCGAGGCCCTCTGCCCTCTCCCCAGGACATTCGGAGGCGGGGGGCCGGGGGAGGTCTTGGGTCCATCAAAGGCGGGTCACCCTGACGGCGACGAAGCCCTTGGAAAGCAGCTCGGCCCTTTTAAAATCCGCAAGCCGCCCTGCTCCTCCGGGAGCAGGAGGGACTGGCCGCGCCCTGGACC